GCAAGTACCAGCCCTGTCCAGAAGGTCCTTGCTTCTGGCTTTGGCAGAATGAAACATTCAGCCACACAGACTGACTTCACATCCCACAAAGGAAAGCACATCCCTGAGTAAGAGTCCCACTCACCTGGTAATGCCAGAGAAATTAGCAGCATTCCCACATAGAGGGAAGTGCATTATCAAAAGATACAAACTGCCAGGTCATTTGGCAACAAGAACACGCACTTATAGCAGAGTTTAGCAAAGACATTTTGCCGTGAGGCACAACGCTTGTGTCTTGCAAATTATACATACCATACAATATCAAAAAAATCAAACATCTTTTCTAATCAGGGCTTTAACCTGACCAGCAGAGTGAAACAACCTTAAAAGGAGTGGGAGAAATGAGCAAACAGCATCAACCAACAGGTCTTCCTCCCAGCTTTGGAGGGAATATCAAAAGATACACACTGGGAAGTGATAGGAATGGCTAACACTAACAGCAGACACCAGAAGTAATAGTGGCTATCAAATGCATCCTTTAAATTTGAGAAGAAGAAAGGGTGCTGTTCGCTACATGCTCAGACTGGTAGCTCATTGTCACAAGAGGATTAAAAATTAGACAAGCTTACTGAAGAAAAAACAAAGGCCAAAATACACAGAGAGGCAGGCAGAACCATTGGCATGGGAAGACTGTAAGCTTCAGACCACTGGAAGGCAGGAGGATATCCTCAGGAAAGCATCACTCTATGCTTGCTTCTTGCTAGTCACACTCAGCTAGGGGATCAAGTGAAGCAAACTTTTTGTCTGACCTAATAGAATTATTCTCAGTGATCTCAGAAATATGGAAGAAAACTAGCAAAGTCATTAAATGACAGTGGTACCTGGAAGAAGCAAGTACAAAAGGATGGCTATGAAGCAAGATGTGCAGGACTAGAGAGAGCCTGCAGTGTTTTAATAAAACACAGACACTAAGCTGTGTGTAAGGTATGTCACAAACATGATTTTACCTCCCAGTAAAAGCTTATAGCAAACTGTGGCTTGAACTGGGTATTTCGGTATCATTCAACACAGGGAAGGTAGCCTAGGAATGCAGATCTAAAAGATAGCACTTTGCCTCAAAGCAGCCGGTTTTTCTCCTTTCCAAATGCTTACCTTGCGCTCTACACACTACAGACCAGCTTCAGCCTGACTTCTGCTGGCGTAACATAAGCTGGTGGGTTCCTTGAAAGACATCTGCAGTGCATTAAGGGCTTTCCTCTGAGTCTCTCAAAAGACAGAAATGGTTATACTT